TGTGTTCAAGGTAGAAATTCTGTCACAAAGAAACAAAACCAATGCCTCATCATTACAAACAGGATCTAAGCACTGAAGAGGGCCAGGTGAAACGTGCCAAGATGGAGTTTCTGAACCTGATTAAATCCACTATCCAGAATTGTCCTTCCTGCCCCAGTGCAGGATGAGGGATGAAAGAGACAGAGAGCCAAGGATACACTGGACTTTCAGCTGGAGCATCCAAGGGAAGTCCCGCATTATAGCCACCTTCTTCTGGTCACCGCATGATCTTCTTCTACTGTTCTGCCCCTGAATGCCACACCAACTAACAAGTACTGCAGAACTGTTACTACCTACTACTCAAAGTGCTTTCCTGTATTTGTGTGTGTGTGTGTGTGTGTGTGTGTGTGCGCGCAGATTACATTTATACTCAAAGTTTTCCTGTATTTGTGTGTGTGTGTGTGTGTGTGTGTGTGTGCGCGCAGATTACATTTACAAATCCCTTCTAGGAAGAGCAGGGGATAGCAAATACACTTACAGATGACAGCAGAGTGGTTGGCCAGGGTTGTGTGGGTGCTAAGCTTGGAAGTTCTCATCTCTTCTCCAAACATCTGCTGCTCCAAATACAGCTAATAATAATGTAATGCTACCTCACAGAGAGAATAATCCCACACAAGATAACTGCACGTATCACATCATCTCTTTTTCAATTTAATATCCACTTTTAATGTCACTATACGATGACATTAAAAGAAAAAGTTCTTAGTTTAAGTAAAGAAATATGAATTCAGTAAAATCATGTAGCATTTCATCCATTAATCCATGGCTAGGCAATATATATCGGCCCTGTTGTAATGTTTAAAACTCAATTATTATGGCTTGGATCAAGAATGTCTCCCACAAGGGTCATGTGTTCAGAGGTAGAGCTTCAGGAAGGAGCCTAGGTGGTGGGAGCAGCCTGTTCAACTGTGGATTCATCTATGAATGCTGAGTTCCCATCTGACTGTGCCATGTGAAGTGAGGCCTTACTGGAAGTGAGTCACTGGGGGGTGTGACAGGAAAGGGATATTCTCGGCACCAGTATCTCTTCCCTCCCCTCCCCTCCCCTCCTCTCCCTCTCCCTCTCCCTCTCTTTCTCCCTGGCTGGCATGAGATAAGCAACTTTCCTCTGCCATGCCTTTGCCATGCCAAGCCTTGCACCCAGCCAACCATGGGCTAAAACTGTGAGTCAAGAATAAACTTCCTGTCCTGTAAATGGCCTGTGTCGGGTATTTTCGTGCCAGCAACAGAAAATCTGACTACTACACTAATTAATGTAATCCATTATATTGAGAAGAAACATTATATTGTAACCTTAGTAAATTTATAAAAATGCTTGAAAAAGATTCATTTCATCAAGATGTTTTTTAAATCTCACCAAATTAAAAATAAAAGCAAATTTCTTCAATTGATAATGGGTATCTACAGCCTAGAGTTAACACCACATGTAAAAGGAAGAGACAGAATACTGTCTTCTTAAGACTAGGAAAAACACAAGAATCAACTTCCACATGTATTGGTTACATATGGGAGCTACCAGCCAGTGCAAAAAGACAGGAAAAAGAAACAAAGTGTACATGGATCAGAATATACATAAAAAATCATCTGGATTCACATATAGGATCTTTGTATATGTAGAAAGCTCTACAGAATATTTTAAAAACTATTAAAACTAATGCCATTTTCTCAGTCTTGTAGGATATAAGATCAATATATAAAATTAATTTTTTCATATAATTGCAATTTAACATTTAGAAATTAGAATATTAAAAATGCCATTCGTGACTGCTTCCCAAAGCACAATAAATTCAATGAACTATGTATAAAATCAATTCTTTGATTACTACAAAACACCACTAAAAGTAACTGAAAAAGAACTAAATAGATGGAGAAACGTATTATATTTAAGTATCAAAAGATCCAACATTGTTAACATAACTATTCTTTCAAAATTAATCTGGGTTAACTCAGTTTAATAAAAAACTCAATATGTGCTTTTGTGTAAATATTCAAGCTGATTGTAAAATTTGAATGAAAATGCCAAGTTCTAATAACAGTCAAATCAATTTTGAAAAAGAATAAAGATAAATAACCAAATTTTAGTGGACACTTGAATAGGCACTTTATAAATGAAGATATACAGATGAACATGAACATTAATATGGACATGAAAAATAATTTAACCTCACGAGTCATCAGAAAAAGACAAACTGAAACCCCAAGAAAATGCCACTAGAAAATCACATGAATAGCTAAAATCAAAGGAACCATTTATACCAAGTATTGGCAAAATTATGGACTAATTGCTCACATATTTCTGTCAGGGAGATAAATGCTATGAGTTTTAAAACTACCTTTAAAGCTAAATGCATACTTATAAAATAATGCTGTGATTCTACTCTTAGGCTTTTTTAAATATGGAATGCTTCGCGAATTTGCACGTCATCCTTGTGCAGGGGCCATGCTAATCTTCTTTGTGTCACTCCAATTTTAGTATATGTGCTGCCGAAGCGAGAGGTAGGTTATTTTTCAAGAGAAATGAAAACACTGCAAAAACTTGTCCATGAATGTTCATAAGCTTTGTTAATAGTAACCCCAAATGGAAATACCTGAATGCCTGCCAACACATGAACACATTTTAAAATTATAGAATATCGGGGCAGGGATTTAGCTCAGTGGCACTGCGGGTCCTGAGTTCAATGCCCAGTAGAAAAAAAAAAAAAAAAGAAAGAATATCCATACAATGGGATATTATTAAACAATAAAATTAAGTACTGATATACCCAACAAAATGAAAGAATCTCAAAAATATTATGACCAATGAAATAAGCTAAATCCCCTAAAATTATGTTCTGTATTACTCTTTTTATATGAAACTCAGAGAAAACACCTAATCCACAGTGGTATAAAATAGATTAGATATCAATAATTTTTATTTTTAAATTAAACTTTATTAATACATGTTTGGAGTACATATGACATTTATTATGGGGAGTTGGTACATGTACACAACACATCTTAATTCTTTTTTTGTCCCCTGCCCCTGCTGTCCTTCCTGTTCCCTCATCTCTTGGTCCCCTTCCCAGTTGCAAAAGCTCTATGTCCACTTTTTTCCAATTCTTTTCATCACCTTTCTTTCATCACCCCCAATTCCTTTATCTCTTGTTACCCTTTCTATTGTAAAAAAGATCTCCCTACTTCCTATTATCTATCTTTATTTTGTGCTTTATCTTTTTCTCATTGAGTTTATTGGTACTTTTTAGGTATACAATACAGTTACATTCATTACTGGGATCTTGTACCTTTACATGACAGGTGGTCTTGGTTCTCATTTTTTCCCCTTGTCCCTGCCCTCCCTTCACCCACTCCTTCCTTATTTACAAAAACTTTATTTCCATTTTTTTGGTTTTCTAGACTAGATATCAATAATTTTTATAGGCAACCTTTTTATCTCAAAAATATTTACTTCATAGAGAAAGTGTCAGTACCACAAGTTAAAAGCTAGTTCACTTTTTATAAATAGAAGATAGTTAGCAAGCAAACAAACAAGAAAACAGTGTTACTACATTCAAGTTAAGTGTTATGTTTTCTCTTTGAGAGAAGAATGAAATATTATAGTCGCCCTAGCAGCAAATATGATACAAAATCAGAAAAACTAAGAGAAGTCAATATGTAATACTTCAATGTGATTTACCATCATGTTTTTAAATGAATTAATTATACATAGTAATGGGATCCAGCATGATAGCTCAATACACACACATTGTGCATTGATTCAATGTAATATCATGCTTGCCCCCCTAATTGATCTTTAAAACTATTCATAGTCTTCCATTCACTGCCACTGGTACTTGTCTCAGCCCTTAGGAAACACTATTATAAAACATTATCTTGTACATTGTGAACTCAAAAGTTGTAGTTGGTGTATTTCTTCCCCTAAATCCACTTGCATTTTTATTTTTTAGATGACCTTTATTCTCTCTGCCTCACACTCCATAGACGTCCTTGATTTGGTGGTGATCTAAGATTTATTATGGACATTTTTCTTTGTGAACATTTTCTTCCTGAGTTTATCTGTGGACAAGAGACACCCTAAAGTGAAAGCTCTTTATATTTCATACATGACCAAATGTAAAAGATAAAATATAAAAAGGATGTTGAGAGAAATCTTCTCATTAGCTGTGGCAATAACTTCGTTAATGTGTCTTCTCAATACTGAATTGTTCATAAGACCATGGTTCTGCCAGTAAGTATAGGTAAAAGACAGCACTCAGACTACAAAGAAAGGCCTTAAGGAGCAGGATGCTTCATATGCAATAGAGAAAATCACAGGTACTTGGCATAGCTAGAAAGTAGGGCACTCCCAGTCCAACTCTGAACTTTGCTTAAATACATGGAAGACCATGTTCTACTCTCAACTAAAGTAGGCATCAGTCTTTCTTCCTTAAAAAGTCAAATTTAATGAAGTATAATTTCAATGTAATAAAGTATACATGTTTTAAACATAGAGCTGATAACTTTTGATATATACATATGACCATGTAAGCACCACTGCATATTCATTACCCCAGCTCATTCTCAATCCAACCCCACTTCCACCAAAGCTTGACTTTCTAGCACTGTAAATTAGATTTTTGCTCATTTTCTCCTCCCTTTTCCTCCTTGGGATTCATCTCAATTCTTTCCCTTTAAAAGAATCCATAAAAATATACACTTCCCTTTAGGATCACTAATCATTTCAAATAATACAACCCATGCGGACAACTTCTCCCTATTGTTATGCTACTCTCAATGTTTTGACAGTGATATGCAATATTTTTTTTAAATCAAGCTCAGTATACTCTACAGAATTTTACCAGTCAAGAACAAAAGAACTGTAAAACAGATTTTCTTCAAGAAACATAAGACAGTTTGATTTCTATCATATTTAGAGTTTCCCAAGAGTAAAATTCAATTTGGAATGAACAAAGACAAACCCTTACCTGTTGGCAAGTGCAGTGTTATGTTGTTGCAAAAATCTGTGAAGCAGCATTCCGTTTTGGTAACATTGTTGGAACTATGGCAGAAGACTTGAGCATGTAATTCTGGGACAGATACACAGGATTTGATCACCTGTTCCTTTCCATTGCTTAGCATGACTGAGGCCCAACATGCTCCTTCTGTTTGGCAGGTAAAATTTGAAGAGTCACACAAAAGACATACACACTTCAATCCTGGAAGAGCAAGACAAAAAGCTTTAAAATGCAAAACATATAATGAAAAATGATTTTGCAGTACTTGAGAATAGAGTCTCAACCTTAATGAAATTTAAGGAAGAATTTAAATAAACAATATTTGATAAATACATGATATGCTTTTACACTCTGTCTTGTGTTTGATTAAATAAGCTGCCTAATTACCATTTATCATCACTAACATTTTTGTGATTTTATACAATTGCTACTGCATTTTGATATATTTCTCTCATCTGTGTTCTAAATTCTTCTTAAACTCAGTTTATTCCTAAATCAATAGCTCCTCAGAAACACCAGGAAACAGTATCACAGCAACCAAGAGGCGCTGTCCAGCATGATTTGTAAAGCATTAAAGTGTGTTATGGCAGCTGTATAACCAAGCAATCTAGTGTGTCCTCTTCTCTTATCTTTCTCCTTTAAATTTTAAAATAAATTTTCTAAACACAATACTAAGCATTGAAATTTACAGCTCTAAAAATAATTTAAATTCTTCATATTCAGTGGTATTTAAAAACTACTGTTATTGTCACAACAGCTTTAAGGCACTAATGAACCATTATTCTTTCCCCTCTTCACTAAGGAATACATCTTGAGAGTCATTTGAACTTAGACCATGACCTTTGGGCAACCTTCTCTAAAGCACACATCTATTTCATAAAGCAAATGCATAAAAATATAGTTTAATATATTTCTTAACAGTAAGACCTTCAAAAATTAGACCCTGCTGAATTAATCTGTTTGCTACCACATGTCACTTCAGTATGCTCTGTTTACTACACACACACACACACACACACACACACACACTCACAATTCAAAGTGGTACAGTAAAATTTTACTTGATGTAAAATATTTGTCAGCATAAAGTATCCTGTGGTTCTAATTTATTCAATATTTAGTTAAATATGTTATTTCTAAATAGTAAAATATTAAATAAGCTTTTCACATTATTGTTTTAAAGAAAATTTGAAAACTCATAACTGCCCTTCAGAATCAATTTGATGTCCAAAGATTTTTCATATAATTATTCTTAATAAAATTAGACTTTAAATCTTTCAAATGAAAACTTACTGAATCCTCCTAAAATGTATGTTTTATCAGTGAAAACTTTTACTCAACTTTTACTGAAAAGTCCTCTTTCAGGAGTGTCTTATCAAGTTTGTGATAAAAAAAAATATGGTGAATGCCACTCACTATGTAGTTGAGACTGACCTGGAACTCACTATGTAGCCCAGGCTGGTCTCGAACTCAGAGATCCTCCTGCCTGAGCCTCCCGAGTGCTGGGATTACAGGCGTGTGCCACCACGCCCGGCTTAAAGGATAAGTTTTAAAGATGCTATTGTATGTCCTCAGCCACCTTATTTACTGGACCTGGCACCATGTATCTCCTGGCTCTTTCCCAAAGTCAAAATAGTCAGGAAAGGTAAATATTTGTAATTTATTCAAGACACTGAGGCAGCTATGATAGCACAACAAAAGTCACTAAGATGACTTCCAGAACTGCTTCAGAAAGTGGCAGCAATGATGGGTTAAGTGTGTTTAAAGTGAATGGAAGTATTTGGAAGGGAATTAATGGCAACCTGTCTTCTCCTGCAATAAAAATTTGTTTACTATTCACCATATTTTGTAATCACACCCTGTATATAAAACCTAGTAATTTAGTTAAGGCACTTCCTTGCACAGAGTTGATAAAAGGAATCTTCATTAACCTAGCTATCTTCTTGCAGTGGAATCTCTCTAGCATTGTTTATTCCAATTTGACAAAGATCTTCAAATACTACCTTTGTAATCTTAGTAGTGGTTTCTCTAGGACTCTATATTTTTATATTAAAGGGAATAAAAGGTATCGCTGAAGAGACTAAATTAGTCAATCTATGTGAAGCTCTTAAGCCAACCTCTGGCGCATAAGAAGTACTCTATAAACAGTGATAATTATCCTACTACTGAAGAGGGTAAAGCTAGTTGCTTTGCACAAATAGTTGAAATGTGTTTGTAATTCATATATGAATAGCTGAATGAACTGGAGTGCAGAAACCATTTAAATGGCATAACAAAGAAATGCATCTCTCTGTGCTGTGCCAAGGACCAAGGACAGTTGAATGCTCTCATTCTTTTGATAATACATGCTGGATCTGAAAGTCACACAGCAGGTGGTGTCTGATGATAATGGAGACAAAGAATTCAGGAAAGGACAAGAGCCTCAGCCCTGCTTTGTCATTCATTTGCTGTTGATTTTAGAGATAACATGTGACTTTACAGAGCCTCTGAGTTTTCCTCTGAAAGAGAAAAATGAACCAGAACAGGGGCAGTGGTTCCAGAAACCTGGAAGTCTCATAGGTGACCAACATTTTATGACTTTAAATTTACAACTTATGAAAATCTGCTAGTACCAAATATTGAAATAGCTGACAAGTTAGAAACTTGCTCTTCTGTGGTTATTCTCCACTCTCATTTTTAAGGGGCTGAAGGTGGGGATAAAAGTGATCCTTCTGGTAGAGGGAATGAAAGGAGGGCAGGGGAATGGGGAAAAACAAAAACCAAGATACACCATGTAAAGGTACAAGGTCCCGATGATGAATGTAACTGTGCTGTATATCGAAAACGTGCCGATACACTTAATGGGAAAAATAAATACATTTTAAAAATTTAAAAAGTAATTCTGACACACAATATCAAATCATTTGTCACTAGTCTCCTCAGTCTCTTTGACTTTTCCTTTTCTAAGAGAAGCTTAGCCAGGAAATTAAGGCAACTAACTAAGGAATATGGATCTAGTGAGTGAAGACAACCATAAAATAGGCAACAATTAAACATATGTTAGTTTCACGTGCATTTGTTGTGGCATATAATTCCCAGTGCAGTTGTGGCAGTTATTTCTCACTGTCTCCATTTTATAGATATGAAATGAGGCTCCAAAAGATCAAGTGATTAACTTCATGTAACAACCTCTAGACGGTGTGCCCAATGTTGTGTCTGTCTCACTAAAGCTGTAATTTTAAAAACAAATTATCTTACTCCACCAGTTTCTACCAAATGAATAAAATATAATTCTAATGCAACAGAAGTAAATAATTGCCAAGCGCGTGAAATGTATTATTTTAATAAAATTTAAAAACTCCATCATATTTTTAAACAAATTCTATCTATTTTTCAGCAAGGTGGTCAGAGGAAAGTCAGTACAATGTGTCTTGCATCGCTAACATACATAATCCCACCTCTTAGTTTATCTAAATTCTGTTCTAAGTAAGCCTCTAAGTACCTATCTATCCCAGTACTTTCTTTTCCTAGCTCTACTGGCTCCTTAGAAAATGATTACATAATAGTCCTTATCAACAAATAATGTGGATATTCACTAAATGTTTAATAGTCTATAAACATTCCCTTTAAAGTAAAGGATACCCACAAGAATAATACAAATCTAAGTGAGAAAGACATAGAAAATGACACCTTGTTTTAAAACTTACACAATGGAAAACACTGACAAAATTAAGGATTTGTTAATGATAATGGCTTCAAACATCTGCTAAATGTTTCCATTTATTCTAGGTCAATTGGCAGTACTGTTGCACTGGCAGAGAACAAACAGCAACACTAAATGGGACCTACAATGTATAAGTAATACATGGCATATGCAGTCTCCCATTTTTCATCTCCATCTAGTCCACTGTACAGTCACATTTGGTATAGGACTAAATTATATTTATACCAACCATCCTCAATGTAGAATCTTTGTGCTGCCAATTAAAATATAAGTTGCCATTACTGATTAGACTTGGGCTTTCAACGTTTGTTTTGTGAAAACCTGATGTTGAGTCAATTATGCTAGAATATTCCATGACAGGATAAATCTGGCCATTAGCAGACAGTAGTCCTGCCTTATGATTCTTTATCTTATAGTTCCTCACTACAACGTACTTGAGTCATATGGAAAGGGATAGAAAATGAGGTTGAAGAAAGAGGCAATTACCCATAATAAGGAGGTCTATTAGATTTTTTCCCCACAAGGAAGATTGCACTTTTCTTGTGTCTCCTCCACCCCTTTAATTATCTCCCTTTCTCTCCCTCTTTGCCAATTAGTCTGTAAAAGCCAAGACATCTGTTACTCACAAGACATCTGTTACCCACAGCTACCAAAGGATGTGCACATTTCTAATCAACCAGAAAATAAATTTTCATCCATATTTAAATATGATGGGCAGCACACCCCTCACACTTCTGGTGTACACAAGTGTAAAAACCAAAGCCTACAAAAAAAGAAGCAAATTTATTGATTTGTATTTATGTACTATTTTTGTTGAAAGTCCAAATACTTGTTTGGCATGTAGTAGTTGTTTTGAGCTAGACACCATTTTCAATAAGTTGGTTTCAAGTTACCTATTTCCTATATATGAATCTATTTGCTAGTCTACTCGCCAAGGTTAACACAAGCATCTAACGATTGCCCTTTTCTTCTTTTCCAAACATTTGCCTGTTCTGTTCCATTTTTCTAATTTTAGACTAGGCTATCAAAAACACAAAATAGTTTTTTGTTTAATTGGAAAAGTGTCTACCTGCTAAAAATATCTTTTCCTTATTTGTGGACTTTACCCCCGGGAACAACTCAAGATCGTCAGTATGCTGACATTAAGAAGCTGGCATCAGCAAGTGTGAAAGACAGACAGTCAAAGACATCAAAGACCAGCTTTCCCTTTCCAAGGTAATTTCTAGGGTTGGAAACATGAACACCACGGATAGGTTTGTACTCTCACATTCACCTACTCATAATTTCAGTTAGGAAGTGAATCACACTGGTTTACAATTCAGCAGAAGTCCTGCAGTCAATGTAAAAACTTATTTGCCTTGCCCTGCATTTATCATATAAGAATGTAATGGTCTTTCCATTATCATTTGGAGAAATGGAGAAAAAGTAATGGAGTCCTGAGTCTGTGGCTTATGTTAGACCACTTCCTAATCCTTTAGTCACAGTGTATATCCCATCA